ATGGAGCACTGGGTGTTATGCACAAACAATGAATCATGGAACACTTCATCTAAAACTAATGATGTAATGTATGGGGATTAACATAAGAATAAAAAAAAAAGAATTGGAAAAACCTAATTCAAATGAAAAATAGGATTTGGTATCCATGGATAGGGATGCTGAAGGTGGGTCCAAGCAGAAGTGGAAAATAAATGCATAGGTAGAGAGGGTCAGTATTAGAATTCAAACTCAACAGAAAGGTGCTGAATTGAATTTGAGAAGAGGAATGTGCATTTTATGTCTTCTTTCAATCACTATTTTTTGAGCATTGCCAGACAGACCCTGTTCTAGGCAGAGGGAATACGGCATTAAATAAATAAATAAATGCCCCAGGGAACTTACTCTCTAATGAGGGGAAACAGATGATAAATAACTTGAGAAAACATAGAGTGTTCCAGATGATAATGATGGGGAAATGAAACAAAAGCTAACACTTAGAAACAAAACAAAAACAAAAACCCAAAAAACAAAACTAGCACTTACAGAGTGCTTCCTAATAGGACCAACACTTTTAAGCCTATTCACTTAATTTAAAGCTCATTAACAGTCCTGTGAGATTGGTAATGTTACTCTCCCCATTTTTCTGATGAGGAAACTGAGACACAGAGAAGTTAAGTAATGTGCCCAGGAACATGTATAGTCAGTAAGTGGTTTGAGTCAGACTTAAATCCAGGAAGACCAGCTCCAGAGAATTGTTACTAATACTGTAGAAAAACTACCCAAGAAATAGGTGTAGGAGGTGATGAAAATGTGTGTTCAGTTTTAAATAGGCCAGCCCCGGGAAGTGTTACGGAGAAGTAGCAATTAGTCATAGTAGCAATTTTAATGAGGGAACAAGGTAAGAGGTTCTAGGGAAAGAAGATTCTAGGTAGAAAAAGGGGCGAGCGCAAAGGCCCTGGGGCAGGAATAAGCCTGCTGTGCTTGAAGCACAGAAAGGAGGCCAGGTTGGCTGGGTCGGAATAAGTGAAAAGGGGAAGAGTAGGAGATGAAATCTGAAGTTCACACAGGGTCCTTACTGTGTAGGGCTTTCTAAGCCAGTGAAAGGAGTTTGGCTTTACTTGAGTGGAAAGCTATTGAATGGTTCAGAGGAGAAATGTGACATCTGACTCTTGATTTTAACATGACCATTCTAGCTTCTGTGTTTAGAATTGACCTTGAGGGGCAAAGGCAAAAGGAGGTAGACCACTTAGGAGGCTGCAGCATTGATTTAGGTGAGTGTTGATGGTGGTATGGGGCCAGGAAAATAGGAGTAGAGATGATGAGAGGTGACCAGATTCTGGTTTACTTTGGACGGTAAAGGCAACGACATTGGGTATGTGGTTGAGGAGTGGAAGGTGGCCCCAAGGTGTTTGTCTTGGGCCCCCTTCAGATGGAGTTGCCATCTACTAAGATGGGGAAGGCTACATGATGAGCAGATTTGGGAGACAAGATTAGGAGCGAAGTTTTAGGGATGTTCCCTTTAAGATGTCTGTAGTCATCCAAATGGAGATCTTAAGTGGTCGGATATGCCAATCTGGAATTCAGGGCAGAGGTCTAGGCTGGAGATGTAAATTTGGGAATTAATAGATGATGTAGAAAGCCAGGGGCATGCTCGAGAGCAACAGGGGTAGATAGATAAGCAAAGAGGTCCAAAATAGGAACCTGGGTGCTCTGTTTAAATGTGGGAGCGCTGAGGAACAACTAGCTAGAAAGACTGAGAAGTAGCCAGGGAGGTAGGAGCCAAGTGCAGGCAGTGTTTCAAGGAGAACAGAGTGCTCAGCTGTGACCAGTGCTGCTGTTAAGTCCTGTAAGACGACAAGTGAGAGTTAGCCATGGGCCTAGCAAAGTGTGGGTCATTGGCGATTCTGGCCATGGACAGTTTCAGTGGAGAGGGTGGGGATGAAACGCCTGACTGAAGTGACTGCAAGAGACAGCAGGAGGAGGAAGTCGGAGACCGGGAGTGCTTGGAGTTTTGCTGTAGAGGTTAGGGGAGGAGAAACAAGGTAGTAGCTGGACACGGGTTGAGGGTCAAGAGAGATTTTGCCGTGGTGGTTACTGTTTCAGTTGGGCACATTTGCATCGTGTTTTTATGCTAATAAATCAGAGAGGGAGAAATAATAATGAGGGACGGGAGAATTGCTGGAGCATAGGATATGTTCTTGAGCTGGTGAGGGGGAATGGGGTCAAAGACTCAAGTGGAGGGGTACCTGGGTGGCTCAGTCGTTAGGCGTATGCCTTCGGCTCGGGTCATGATCCCAGCGTCCTGGGATCGAGCCCCGTATCGGGCTCCCTGCTCCGTGGGAAGCCTGCTTCTCCCTCTCCC